GTGCACCAGATGGAAGAGGTCTTTCTCTCTGTGTCTCTTCCTCTCTGAATCTATGCCTTTCAAATAAATAAAACAAATCTTTAAAACAAATCTTATCAGTGAATTTAGGAAGAGCAAGTGATGCTTCTCACCCTCTCTGGAGATGCGTAGAAGGCCCTGCCATATAATTCCCAATGTGGTATTTACCACTTAAAGAGATGGCATTTTGGCATCCTTCTACTCTTTTCCTCATTTCTGTCTGGTTAGAGTCTAGCAAAAGATCATGACAGAAAGGAAGATACTATTCCTTGGGTTTTTTAAGTGATGCAAGCACATAATCAGCATCAAATAAATTTTAACCAACACATGATTCCTTCCTGTCAACTGCTACAGGATTTTGGGGGGATTTTTTCGTATTGTTTCCTTACATGGCATTGAACCATTCTCCTGCCAATAGTGTTGTCCTGTTTACTTCCCTGCTATATTACAACATGTAGGAGAAAGGATAATTTGTGTTGCTATTTTCTCTCCTGTTCCATGTAAATTTTTAAATGTGGTAGACAGGAATTATGAGTACAAGACAATTCATAAACACAGTAAAATATTGTCACTGTGAATTCAGTTGGATTACAAAAACAAAACAGTTTGGTGGGAATTTATCTGACATGGTGTAAGGATTTTACACATCAACATTTTCTTTGGAAATACTTTTATATACATGTGGTCCTTACCTAAATATTTTTTTTTTATTTTTTTGACAGGCAGAGTGGACAGTGAGAGAGAGAGACAGAGAGAAAGGTCTTCCTTTGCCATTGGTTCACCCTCCAATGGCCACCGCGGCCAGCGCACTGCAGCCGGCGCACCACGCTGATACGATCGCAGGAGCCAGGTACTTATCCTGGTCTCCCATGGGGTGCAGGGCCCAAGGACCTGGGCCATCTTCCACTGCACTCCTGGGCCACAGCAGAGAGCTGGCCTGGAAGAGGGGCAACCGGGACAGAATCCGGCGCCCCGACCGGGACTAGAACCCGGTATGCGGCGCCGCAAGGCGGAAGATTAGCCTAGTGTGCCGCAGCGCTGTCCCCTTACCTAAATATTGATATAAGAGATCTCCAAGCCATTTTGCTACCATGATTGTATTTTTTTTGTATTGTATGCCCTAATCCCTAACAGTTTCAAAAGTGAAAGGTGGTGCCACATCGTAAAAAAGATAGAGTAATGCCTGAAGAGTATAAATTTAGTCTTTTGAAATTTATGACTCCTTGAGGTGTCTTTTATGTTCTACTCAAGAAGTTAAAGTCAGAAGAAAAAGGAAAAGAAAGCTTATATATATATACATACACACACATGAGTATACTATACCAGCAGGTAGCCTGATTTTGAACATTTGGACAAGTACCTCCTTGATGGTTATCAGTTTTCTCACCTGTAAAGCTAAACAATTTGAATTGCAGCTATAATGCTATACAGGACTTATCTTCAAAATGTACAAGGAGCAAGCTATTCAAGCTAATAATCTGTCTTTTTATGGCATAGCGTAGAACACAGCGGGACTCTCTGAAACTAGATCTAGGCTCTGCCACTCTCACCTGCATGATGTTGAGCCACTTAACCACTCTTTCTGCTTTCTTACCAACAAAATGGAGATAACAGATGATATCTACTGTAAGAATAAAATTAGATAATACTCCTCCTTATATATTTCCTAAAATTATGACTTTCAGGTAGGAAAATGCTTAAAAATGTATTTATTAGCTTCTGCAGCACAAAATTATCTGTCCCCAAATTGCTATTGATGGAAAAAAATTTGAAGGCTGAGATTCCAATGAAGAAAAATTAATCATGTATTTTCTGATGATCTCCTCCAAATAGAGTTAATAAAGAGACTGAATATTGAATTCAATTATACATATTCATCTTCATGTTCCTGAAGTAAAATTATAATTTGGTTCCCTGTGGGTGATTTAGAATATGTATGATTCCTTTCATTATTCAGTCACTCTCTGCTAATCCTGTAGTTAGGTGGCATCCCATTGCCACATTCCCAGGGTATAACATTCAAGAAAATATTTCATATATAAAAAGTTCCCCACTCTTTACATTAATCAAATGACAGGAGGCACAATCAGATTAGATAACATCCTTAAGACAATTAGCAATAATTTAGCAGTGTTATACAAATGGAAGAATCCTCCTGCTGCTTTAAGAGATATGTGATGAGCAAAATTCAAAATGAATTTTAAGGATGAAGTCTTTGTCCAAATGAATTATTCTGAAGATTCTAAATGACGACCAGAATTTTCTGAGACTTCATTTTAGATCATTTCATGAGAAAAGCCTCCTTGAGAGTTTTGTTCTTTGAAGGCTTGAATTATGCCGGACAGTGAATTACCTCATCCTTTGGAATCAATAAACCACTGCAAGCTTTAGAACTAGGTTCCTCTTTCAAGCCATGAATATAATGAGATGACACAGCAAATTGCCTAAGGAAGAAGATAACACTTAGAAAAGGAAAGTCATATCAACCGAATGTCAATACCATTAGCATTTGTTAGGGACAAAAGGCGGCATCACAGCACCTTGTAGATACATGCAATAAACAGATTCTTACATATTCTGACCTTCCAGTGTTCTTTTCTGGGGGAACAAAAGTTAAAGGGAAAGTATAAAGGGCAAAGATTTGAGAGAATGTGTTATTGCTTATATACACTGTGGAAAAGATACCTTTTAACAATGCCTAATAAATATTTGCTATATTTCTAGGTTACATGTATGTGCTGTTTTAAAAAAAAATGCATGCTTGTTTTGGCACCATAATGGAGTTTGGGTCAAAGATCAGGTGTTACTTTACTGCTTAGTTGAAGTTAAGATAAGTACAAGAATATAGAATCCATAAATAGGTTTTCCTTCATAGAAAACTGTATATTTTAGAAAATGCATCCAACAGTAAGACGGTGAAGCTTTCCAATATCTCTTAATATTTTTTTTTCCTAAAGGCAGAATTGAGCAGTTAACCAGTTGAAAAACAGACAGCTTGATGATGGCTTTAACATCTCAAGATTACCTCGATTGGTGGAGCCAAATGTATGGAACAGAAATATTTCATCTTTTTGACCCCTTGAAGTGTCTGACTACCCTTTATCTCCAAGACCATCCCTTTGGCTAGGCAGAGCAGCTGGGAAGCCAACACTGGTCTGAAAGAGTCTCCGCTGTCGTTGTTTATATTCAGGTTGTGCATTAACGAAGCCAGAAGAGATACAGACAGGGCAGATGGGGGTACAGGGAAACACTTTAAAATTATATCATACTTATTAGCCACTAAATCCAAGCTATATGTTGGGTTGTGTCCAATTCAATTATTATTCTGTCCTTTTTATTTCTGTCGATTAAAGCTACAAGTTGAAGCATTTGGGGAAACTGGTTTCCCTACTGGGGTTCAGATCAAGGACCAGATATTTGCTATTACTCATATCCAAATATATCCTACATAGATATAATTTGATAGGCTCATTTGAGACTTATAAAAAAATTAAGAATTGGGGGCCGGCGCCGTGGCACACGAGGTTAATCCTCTGCCTGCGGTGCCAGCATACCATAAGGGTGCTGGTTTTAGTCCCGGTGGCTCCTCTTCCAGTCCAGCTCTCTGCTGTGGCCTGGGAAAACAATGGAGGATGGCCCAAGTCCTTGGGCCCCTGCACCCGCGTGGGAGACCAGGAGGAAGCACCTGGCTCCTGGCTTCAGATCGGCATAGCTCTGGCTGTTGCGGCCATTTGGGGAGTGAACCAGAGGAAGGAAGACCTTTCTCTCTGTCTGTCTCTCTCATTGTCTGTAACTCTAAATAAATAAATAAAATAAAATAAGAATCATTTAATATGCACAATATGGGTAAAACAAAAAATATAGGCAGTTAACTATATGCAAATTATTGCACATAGCAAAATCCTCTTGATACTAGTAATTCTAATTTGTTAGATCTTGAATCTAAACTTTATTTCTTATCCCAAAACCATGTGTACAATTGCCTACCAGGAACCACATCTGGCACTTTATTCTTTACAAAACTAAATCTAAGTCGAAATAATTCAACCAAATCCTCTTCCTGACCCTGTGTTCTTTCAGTGAATTATACTGTTATCCATTTAGTTGCACTGTCTTGAAACTTGAATGCTATCCTGAACACTCAGTCTCCCTCCCAGTTGATTCCTATCAATTCCACCCTCGTGAATCCATCCCCTCCTTTCCAACTGCCACTGCAGCAATGTTAAATTATTTCTGCCTGGGTAAAGGAGAATAAAGCTTAGAGGATGGGTGGTTATGTTGGTAGCTTGTAAATGAGGATACAAGTTATCACTCATAAGCATGAATTATGTAACACCCAACAATTTGACAGAGGAGAGGCATTACACTCCAAGAGCCTTTTCTTTGAAATTTTATATTCAATAAATAAAGATGGGGATGTTGTAGAAGTCCAGGACCCCAACGAGAGAGATCACAATAACATGCTTCTAATATGCAACAAGAGTCTTAAGGCAGTTATCACATTAAAGTAAACATTACAGAAAACCAATTGAAAATATAGACACCTGAAGAGCAGGGTTTTTTTTTTTTTAAAGATTTGTTTATTTATTTGAAAGGCAGAGTTACAGAGATGCAGAGGCAGAGAGAGAAAGAGAGAGGGGGAGAGAGAGAGAAAGAGGTCTTCCATCCACTGGTTCACTCTACAAATGGCTGCAACCACTGGAGCTTGGGCCAATCTGAAGCCAGGAACCAGGAGCTTCTTCCAGGTCTTTCATGTGGGCACAGGGGCCCAAGGACTTGCACCATCTTCTACTGCTTTCCCAGGCCCATTAGCAGGGAGCTGGATCAGAAGTGGAGCAGCTGAGCCTTTTTTTTTCTTTTCAACTTTTATTTAATAAATATAAATTTCCAAAGTACAACTTTTGAATTATAGCAGCTTTTGCCCCCATAACCTCCCTCCCACCCACAACCATCCCATCTCCTACTCCCTTTCCCATCCCATTCTTCATCATGATTCATTTTCAATTATCTATATATACAGAAGATCAACTTAGTATATACTAAGTAAAGATTTCAACAGACTGCACCCACAAAGACACATAAAGTATAGAGCACTGTTTGAGTAGTAGTTTCACCATTAAATCTCATAGCACCACACACTAAGGGCAGAGGTCCTACATGGGGGGCAGGTGCACAGTGACTCCCGCTGTTGATTTAACAATTGACACTCTTATTTATGATGTCAGTAGCAGCTGAGACTTGCCAGTGCCCATATGAGATGCTGACACTGCAGGCAGAGGCTTTACCCACCATGCTGCAGCACCGGCCCCATGAAGAGTAATTTTATTCTGCATTTGAAGGATGTATTTTATAAAGCGAATAACCTGAATTTTCCTGTTCCTGTCACCGTAACTGCTAATTAAGTAGTTTATGTAAAGCACCTTTCTCAGTGTTTTACATATACTCACTTAATATTTAATTTAATCTCATTTAACATTTAATCCACAATAATATACAGTAAGTACTAGCCAGAAGAAATCAGAAACTCAAAGGACTTGTCAGTGGCAGAGCTCAAAATCAAACACCAACCCTGTCTTTGCACAATGCTTTCTCTTTGAGATTCTGTCCCAGTAACAACCTTCATAGAGATTACAACTCCACAACTATTTGGAGAGCAAGTAAGAGAGAGATACAAGCATGCTTTACCTCCATTGACTTTTCATTGGAAAATTGCCATTGCTCTTGTCTGAACTCCTCAAGAAAGGGCCTATAAAGAAGTTTAACAAGTTGATGACAACATCACAGATCATTTGAGACTGCTAATAGAAATGTATTCTAGAAAATACTGAGTTTTGGGGGGCCAGCACCGCGGCTCACTTGGTTAATCCTCTGCCTGCGGCACCAGCATCCCATATGGGAGCCGGGTTCTAGTCCCGGTAGCTCCTCTTCCATTCCAGCTCTCTGCTGTGGCCAGGGAGGGCAGTGGAGGATGGCCCAAGTGCTTGGGCCCTGCACCCCATGGGAGACCAGGAGGAAGCACCTGGCTTCGGATCAGCATAGCTCCGGCCTTAGAGGGCATTTGGGGGGGTGAACCAACAGAAGGAAGACCTTTCTTTCTGTCTCTCTCTCTCACTAACTCTGTCAAAAAGAAAGAAAGAGAAAGAAAGAGAGAGAGAAAGAGAGAGAGAGAGAGAAAGAGAGAGAGAGAGAGAAAGAGAGAGAGACAGACAGACAGACAAGACAGAGTTTAAAATGGCTTCCATATCCTTCACAATGGTTGGTAAATAAACAGGTTGCCTGGTTCCATTGTGCCCCAAGGTCTGCTTAGGGACCTTAATCTCTCCATCCCGCTATGTTTGCAGCATTAGGACTGTTCCTGGGCCTCCAACTCCCCAGTCCAGAGTTCACCAGGCTTCTCTACCTCTCTCCTCTTCCATCCTGCTGTCAGCAGATCACTGATGCCACTGGACTTAAATGCAAACCACTTCTCCTCATTTTCCTTTTTTTACCACTTATTTTTTTACCACTTATTCCACTTAAGATGAAAATCCAGGTCCAGGAATCAGAGTAAAATCCTTCAGCAGAACTCTGTTGTTACAAAACATACAGCTACCACTCTAGTGGGAAACCCCTCTTTTATTTTTTAACTACTCAAAAACATTTTTACTATGTGGTACTCTGTGTACCAATCTGTAAATGATACTTCTACTGGAAATAAAAGACAGTCTAATAATCAACATTAAAGTTCATTCTTGTTAAATTTTTTTTCACAGGCAGAGTTAGACAGTGAGAGAGAGACAGAGAGAAAGGTCTTCCCTTTTCCGTTGGTTCACCCCCCCCAAAGTGGCTGCTACGGGTGGCGCGTTGCAGCCGGCACACTGCGCCGATGCGAAGCCAGGAGCCAGGTGCTTCCTCCTGGTCTCCCATGCGGGTGCAGGGTCCAAGGGCCTGGGCCATCCTCCACTGCCTTCCCGGGCCACAGCAGAGAGCTGGACTGGAAGAGGAGCAACTGGGACAGAATCTGTCGCCCCAACTGGGACTAGAACCCGGTGTGCAGGCGCCCCAGGCGGAGGATTAGCCTAGTGAGCCACAGTGCCGGCCCATTCTTGTTATATTTTAAAATGATAACTAGGGCAGTAAATATCATGAAGTTCTCAAGTCAGCAGCTAATGCACAGACAATAATCAGCAACCCATCTGTTTTATTCTGACACAAAAAATATTTTGTCTGGGGGCCAGCGCTGTGGTGCAGCGGGTTAAAGCCCTGGCCTGGGGCACTGGCATCCCATATGGGCGCCAGTTCTAGTCCCAGCTGCTCCTCTTCTGACCCAGCTCTCTGCTATGGCCTGGGAAAGCAGTAGAAAATGGCCCAAGTCCTTGGGCCCCTGCAACTGTGTGGGAGACCCAGAAGAAGCTCCTGGCTCCTGGTTTTGGATTGATGCACTTCCGGCCTTTGCGGCCATCTGGGGAGTGAACCAGTGGATGGAAGACCTCTCTCTCTCTCTCTGTCTCTACTTCTCTCTGTAACTCTTTCAAATAAAATAAATCTTTAAAAAAATATTTTGTCTCCTCTCATGTACTCACCCCAAGTCTGACTGCCCCTATATTGCAGAAGTCAGGGCTGTAGTTACCCCAGTAACCCTCGTGCAGAGATTTTTCATCAGACTGCCGTCAAGTACAAGTCCAACAGGAACCAAGCTAATGAGCACAAAGTCTGCTCAGGTTCTCAGTGCTGGGGATATGTACAGACAAAGCAGGGCACAGTTGAAAATGGAAAATCATTTGTAATATTCTGCCCAATTTCTCTCTAAATTATTACCTGAAAGTGTTTTAATAGAGAAGAAGTTGAATTTCATAACTTTATAACAAGGGGATTGTTGCTCATTCTGCAACCTGCAAAAGTAATTCATTTGGTTCTTTAAGGCATCTAACATAACAAGAGATAGATAGATAGATAGATAGATAGATAGATAGATAGATAGAGAAAAGAATCATGCCATTTTATCATAAAATGTGGCATGTCCAATCATCAATCTTTCCTTGCTGGGAGACATGTACTTAAAAGGAGTAAAGTGAGGGGATGCCCCCCATTGACTATAAAAGGTTTAGAAATGCTCTTTTCTGAGTATAAAATGAAAAAGAAAATGTTGATTCTCAAATGTATCAATAAACAGGAAACACCACTTGTCCTGGTGTAACCATGGATGATGGGCACTCACCAATTTTAAACCCAGGCAGGAGCCACCATGTGGCACAGCAGATTAAGTGGCTGATAGAGGTGCCAGGATTGTATATGGGCATCACTTCAAGTCTCAGCTGCTCCACTTCCCATCCAGCTACTTGCTAAAGCACCTAGGAAAGTAGCAGAAGATGGCCCAAGTGCTAGGGTACCTGCACCCACATGGTAGCCCAGGTACAGTTCTGGGATCCTGGCTTCAGCCCGGGAGGCAGCAGTGATGGCTGGAGTCACTGGGTTCCTGTCACTCACATAGGAGACCTGGACTGAATTCCTGGATCCCAGCTTCAGCCTGACCTGGTCCTGGCTATTGAGGACATTTGGAGAGTGAACAAGATTGGAATATATTTTCTCCCTCTCTTTCTCGCTCTGTGTGTGTGTGTATGTGTGTGTGTGTGGGGGGGTGTATGTGTGTGTTGTGTGTGTGTCTGCCTCTTTGAGATGCAAACTTTTAAAATTAAAAAAAAAAACAGGAAATTTACATCTGTATTTTAAAAGGCATGGAAAATGAAGCCTATGCTTTTCAGCTGAAAAATTACTTTTCTTTTTGTTTTACTAAATTACACAAAGTTTTCCACAGGTCTTTAGATATTGAATTTACCTGTATTTGTTCAAGTGCCAGAAAGTTCTGTTCTTGAGCTTCCATTTAAATCCCCATGTCCTAGATTACAATTATACAGTCAATTCTCATTATTCATATTTATGGTATAGAAAGTCGCCATAAACACTTAATTAGTGAATTAGTGTATACGGAACCATTGCTCCCAGGGGACAGATAAGGTCAGGGTCTTAACAGGTTTGTTAAGATTTCATCTTTAAACAGAAACACATCCAAGGATTATTAATCAAGGTTATGTTGATAATAACTATGTTTTATTGTGTTCCTGTGTAAAAACACATTTAATATGCAATCACTTTTCTGTATCCATGAGGATTAGTTCCAAGACTCCCTAAAGACACCAAAATTGTCAAATACTCAAGTGTCTTATATAAATTGGAGTAGTATTTACATATAACCTACATACATCCTCCCATATAATTTGAATCATCTGTAGATTTCTTACAATACTTAATACAAGTGCTATGTAAATAGTTGCTACACTATCCTGTTTCAAGAATTACAAAAAAGTCTGTACATGTTCAACACAGATACAACGGTTTTCCAATGCTTTTGATCCAGGTTTGATTAAACCTAAGACCACGGAGGGCCAACTGGATTACTTATTTATTAACACTGAACCCACTATCACTATAGTTGAATACAGCTTAACTAATTTATCTTTTCAATAAAGTACATCACACCCTTTCTGTGCTTAACATTAAGATGCTATTTTAGAACTATACATGGGGGCATTTTAAAGAGCAAAATCACCAAGAAAATGCACAAAAAGGCAAAATATATGGTGTTAAATAGATCATGAAAGTAACATTCATTCATGGCATGAGAGCTGAAATCAGAAGGCAAGAGTATTGTTTACCTCAGCTGGGAGTATATATATTGGGAAATTCAAGTTTTCACTGCTCTGTCTATGTCTTCAAAAAAAACTCTGTCAGGATTAATTTTGAGGTTGCCAATAAATTGGAGAGTAGACAAATTTGAAAATGTGAAATTTACAAATAACAAAGACCAACTGCATAAAATTAATGTACAGATAGATTCAACGGAATCTAAGGGAAGAGTAACTGAAACAAAGGATCCAGGTCTCAACTATTTCAGTTGGAGCATTACTTCTACTCTTCTCAAGGGCTACCAGCATGTGTTTTATTTTAAGCACTGATATATGGCAGAATGGATTATATCCTATAATATGACAAGAAAACTGTTCTGTATAAATGCAATACTTCACATATAATTTATTTATTCCAGTAAATGAGGTTTGACAGCTAGAGAATCCAGGGTCCCTTTGCCTCACCCTACTGCAGTAGACTTTTCTCCAGCTGTGGGTTTTCCCCTAATCCTGGGGACATGGAAGGACTGCACTTCCCAGAGATTCTGTGATTGGCGTGAACACATGAGTTTCTTCAGCCCAGAGAATGTGAGTAAAGTTGACAACTCCCTTTCCCAGGTGACAGCATTTGATAGTGCCTATGTCTCCAGAACATTCGTTCTTGGGTCACTGACCCACAGCTTTCCCAACTTTGAGGCTTCCATCTGATTGGAGTCACTAAGGATGATGTGGAACAGAGTTTCCCACCACACCTCCATTACCAATGTACAGCAAACAGACTGATCAAGAAATAAATTGTTATTTTCCAATGTTGTTTTGAACAAACTAGGTGGTGGTTTTTACTTCGACATAACCCAGATCATCTTATCTGATACAGACATCTGAAATAAGATTCTTTTTCCTTCTTTTGGAAATAGTGACCATATTCATTGAATGATCATTTTGAGAAAATCATTGTGCATATTTATCTTTAAAATGGACCATATCCCCAATTTAAAACATATTGTTTGAAATTTAATTGTCCTAAGCTCTTGGTATATATTGCCTCAATTAGTGCTAACAATGATACAAGGAGTACTTCAATGTGCAGATGAGAAACTGAGAACTCTGAGCCGGCCACTTGGATGCCCATCCCCACACACAGAGTAAGCAGTGGGGCTGCATTAAGGACTTGCACCTGTCAGAGGTCAAACCTTGCCTTTAAGCAACAGGAAGCTAAAAGTTTTTTTTTTTTTAATACAGTGCATATAAAAGCATGTCCACAAATAGACTTTGTTAAAAAAAATAAATAAAGGGACTAAACTCCAGGAAGCAGGGAGACTTGATTCCATCTGGATTAAAGGGGCTTATGGGAGTAAGCTGCTTTTCTGCAGGTGTGGAACATGCTTCTCCCTCTGGAGGAAGCAACATTCAGGTGCTACCTTGGAAGTGGAGGCTGTGCCCTCACCAGATGCCAGATGCTGGTGCCTTAATCTGGGACTTCCCAGACTCCAGACCTGTGAGAAGCAAATTTCTATTACTTATAAATTCACCCAGAGCCAAGGACTGAGCAGAACTTCGTTCTCCAAACTCATTTAGATATTTTAACTGCAGTCAGATGGATTAAGGGTGGAGACATGGTCTAACTGGCATCTGAGAGGTGGATCTGGTGGGGAGGTATTTTTTTAATGTTTATTCTATTTGTCTGGTTGTGCTTTTTTGTTTTTGTTTTTTGACAGGCAGAGTTAGAAAGTGAGAGAGAGAGAGACAGAGAGAAAGGTCTTCCTTCTGTTAGTTCACCCCCCAAAACAGCCGCTACAGCCAGCACACTGCGCTGATCCAAAGCCAGGATCCAAGTGCTTCTCCTGGTCTCCCATGCAGGTGCAGGGCCCAAGCACTTGGGCCATCCTCCACTGCCTTCCCTGGCCACAGCAGAGAGCTGGACTGGAAGAGGAGCAACCGGGACAGAATCCAGTGCCCCAACGGGGACTAGAACCCAGGGTTCCAGCACCGCAGGCGGAAGATTAGCCTAGTGAGCCATGGCGCCGGCCATGTTTATTCTATTTGCTTGAAAAGCAGAGTGGCAAAGAGGGGAAGAGAGAAAGAAGGATATCTTCCATCTGCTGATTCACTCTGCCAAATGGCTGAATCAGCTGAGGCTGGACCAAGCCAGACTCAGGAGCTTGGAACTGCCTCCAGGTCTCCCACAAGGGTGGCAGGGACCCAGCACTCACAGCATCTTCTGCTGTTTTCCCAGGCTCATAGCAGGGAGCTGGATTGAAGGAAGAGCAGCCAGGACTCAATATGGTGTGTATACAGGATGCTGGCACCTCTCGCAGCTACTTAAACCTGCTCCACCACTTTGCAGGACCCAGGTGGTGGGAGGTCTTTAGGTCAGCATTGATTTTAGAGTTACTAATAAATTAGATCATCATGCCCTCAGAAGGTAATTCTCATGAGATGGTTGGTTATTTATTTATTTATTTATTTATTTATTTTTGACAGGCAGAGTGGACAGTGAGAGAGAGAGAGACAGAGAGAAAGGTCTTCCTTTGCCATTGGTTCACCCTCCAATGGCTGCTGTGGCCGGCGCGCTGCAGCCGGCGCACTGTGCTGATCCGAAGGCAGGAGTCAGGTGCTTCTCCTGGTCTCCCATGGGGTGTAGGGCCCAAGGACTTGGGCCATCCTCCACTGCACTCCCGGACCATAGCAGAGAGCTGGCCTGGAAGAGGGGCAACCAGGACAGAATCCGGCGTCCTGACTGGGACTAGAACCCGGTGTGCCAGCGCCGTAGGCAGAGGATTAGCCTAGTGAGCTGCAGCACTGGCCAAGAGATGGTTGGTTATTAAAACTGACTTTGGTTCTCTTTCTGGCTCCTGGCTCATTATGTGATGGTTCCTCCATACCTGCTCTACCATTGCCAGTCTCCATCAAAAACCAGACTAGTGAGGCGCCTGGAGCTGAACTAAGAACCTCCAAACTGTAAGGCAAAACAACCCCTTCACATCCCAGGAAATCTGTCTCTGGGTATTTTAGCTATGGTAACAAAAGTCTGATTGATACACCCAGTCTGGGATATTTTGCTATTGCAATACAAAATAGGCTGAGACAGCATATATGCTTGTAAATCCAACATACGTAATAATCCAATTTTCCTGACACAACTTTAAAGAAATGTGTGGTAGACCTATTTTTCACAAGAGGAAACATTAACTTAAATAAGACTCTCTCTGCTCCCTTTTCAAACTCTCCTCACCCTTGGGTTCTAAACACACTTGAGCTCTCTCACATGAACTCTCCTCCCACAACACTTTCTCAACCAGGAGGGGTTTTTTTGGCTCTCACCATCAAGCTTTTGAAAACAACAAGTCATGTGTATCACCTCCAGTTAGGAAGTAGCAGTCAAGATTCCAACCCAGGTCAGACTGATCTCAAAGCCTGTAATCTAAGCCCTACTCCACCTGTCTGCCCATAGTTGTGTATTTCCATATCTTCTCTGACAGCACCAGCCATGTTAGCAGTGGGTTATGGAAACAGAAAAACAGTAGGTATTACCTCTGGCTTCTTGGGCAGACATTTAAATTAACCATATGTGGGGAGCAACTCGGACTAGACTAAGTTACTCGAATTAAGACTTATTCTATGCATCTGCTCTCCCACAATATGGCGCTGGGAGAGGAGTAAACAGCTTCTACGCAGCTGCCTCTCGCCAACTTGAGTGATGACCTGCAGGAGCTGATCCTGCTCCTGATTGGAGGAGAGCAGCGTACTCGGTGTGTGGGTAGCAGAGTTGGGATTGGTGGAAGAGGACTATAAAGGAGGAGAGAGACAACATGCACCAGGAACATCTAAAGGGAACACCTGAGCAGACCCCGAGAGAGCCGGCCGGCGGTGTGCCGCTCCCCCGCGGAAGTGGGGAAAGTGGCTAGGGGGAACCGCCCTTCCACGGAGGTGGAAGGGATGGTAGCCAACCCGGGAAGAACCAGCAGCAAACCCGGGAAGGGCCGAGCAGACAAAAGAACAGCGCAGGGTCCTATGTCGTTCCTCCACGAAGAGGGGGAGCGATAACCATGATGCTCACATTCCTTCGGGGTATTATTATTTAAAAACACTGCCTACAGCCACATTAGGAATTTCAATCAATCTTGAATGAATTTCTAAATTTGGATTTTATTTATTATATATGTCCAATGTTTAAGAATTTTTTTAAGATTTTATTTATTTATTTGAGAGGTAGATTTACAGATAGTGAGAGGAAGAGACAGAGAGAAAAGTCTTGCTTCCGTTGGTTCACTCCCCAGATGGCCACAACAGCCGGAACTGCACCTAGCCGAAGCTAGGAGCCAGTCTCCCACTTGGGTGCAGGGGCCCAAGCACTTGGGCCATCTTCTACTGCTTTCCCAGGCCATAGCAGAGAGCTAGATCAGAAGAGGGGCAGCAGAGACAAGAATCGGTGCCCATATGGGATGTTGGCACCATAGGGGGAAAATTAACCTACTGTGCCATGGGCCAGCCCCAAGAATTTTTTTTAAAAAAAGAAACTTTTAGGGGCTGGCATTGTTGTACAGTGGGTTAAGCCACCACCTGCAACAACAGCATCCCATAAGATCACTGGTTGAAGTCCCTTCTCTGCTTCTGATCCAGCTCCCTGATAACCCACCTGGGAAGACAGTGGAAGATGACCCAAGTGCTTGGGCCCTGGCCACCCATGTAGGAGACCTGAATTGAGTTCCAGACTCCTGGTTCAGCCTGGCCCAGCCCCAGCCATTACAACCATTTGGGAAATGAACCAGGAGATGGAAGATCTTTCTCTCCCTCTCCTTGTAACTCTGCCTTTCAAATAAATAAATTGTTTTTAAAAAAATACAAGATGACTCCAAAGCAGTTAATGGAAAAAATGAAATTAAAAGATCAGTTTATTTTTAATTAACTTTTAAAGCATTGTTTTAGCTGTCAGAGCACCAACAGGACATTTTTGCATATCTGAAATGCAATTTCTTTTGAATCTGTAATAGCCACCTCATATTTCAGGCTTGTGTTTAAGATAATAAATAAGTATCCCATTAAAAAATTCTCTGGGAGTAGATTGTTAGGAAAAGAGTTGCAGATTGGTGCCTCCTCACACAGGGCACCAAAATGTTTGGAAAAGAGTCGTAGAATAGAGAGGAGGCAGTGCACGAATTTACAGCCAGAGCAAATTTATTCAGAGAAAATAAATCCGCAGAAGTGGGTGACCAACTGCCTGCCTGTACACAATGGAGCATGTGACAGAAGGCCCTGACCCCAGGGGCTGGACCTTTTTAAGGAGGGCTAGGGCTGGGGGTGGGAGTAGGGGACAACACGCAGAGGGGAATTCTAAGAACTGGGCGAGGTCATGGGAACCTGGAAAAGAATGCAGGGTGGGGAATGAAGGTCATAGGGTGTGAGACCCAATTGAGTTTCAAGGGCAAGGAATACAGAGATGACCCAAGTCCCTAAGTCCCTAACACGCGCATGGGAGACTAAGATGGAACTCTAGGCTCTGATTTTAGCCTGACCCAGTCCTGGCCATTGCAGCCATACGAGGAGTGAACCAGTGGATGGAAGATCTTTTTCTCTGTCTCTCCCTCTCTCTCTGTCACTCTGCCTTTCAAATAAATAAAATCTATCTTAAAAGAAAAAAATATATTATCTCATAGAAGTCTTTTTTGTACTCAGACTATAAATATAGTTCTAATCATTTACGTCATAAATATCTTTTATCTTCTAGCTTGACCTTTCAACTTGCTAATACTATCTTTTGATAAATAGCAATTTCTTTCCTTAATATGCTCAGTATCCTTACTTCATCCCTTGTCTGACTATATACTTAAAGATATATTTGCTATACTTTCGTGTAACATTTTGTATCAGGAGGGTTCTTCAATAATCCTATCTGCTATACTATCAGAAATATATGTATGCTATTTGCTTCTTCGTTTAGAACATAAAATCTATTTTTCTGGAGAAAGAATCATCAGTACATAGGTCACTTGTTTTCCCTTTCTTATTAGCCATAGTTAAAAATTTTTGTATCAGAATTTTTTGTGAGAGGAGAAAGAAAGAGAGCTTCCATCTTTAGGTTCATTCCTCTAAAGCCCACAATGGCTGGGCCAGGCCAAAGCAAAGAGCCAGAAACTCAACTCAGGTGCCCCACAAGGGTGGCAGCAATCCAATTAGTTGTACCATCAGGGCTACTTCCCATGGTCTGTGTTACCAGAAAGCTGGGATTAGGGAGCAGGAAACTGAACCTCAGGCACTCCATATGCCACAGGGGTGTCCTAGACCAAATGCCCACCCCTCTATTAGACATTTTTGAAGACACCTGTACGTACAGTCTTAGTTCTGTTATCCCTAAAGAGAAAGTCGTTGAATAAAACCTGTTTTGTCCGCTAAAATCCTCACTTAGTTCTAAAGCTCTTGGCCACTAACAACTCTCTTTGTTAGTGAGTTGTTAGTTAGTTGTTAGTCTCCTGCATGCACACAGAACCCTGGCTTCCTGCCCCAGAAATCCTGTTTCTTGTGAAATGTGTGGCCTGGAAATACAAGACCCATTTGGCAAAATTGTGACACATGAGAGAAGTTCATCTCTTCCCCTCCCTCGGGAAAGGCTGATTTGAGAAACAGTCACTCAAATGTCTTCTCAGAATACGGTCCTGCAAAATCATGAAATCAGTGGACTTTGCTACCAAGGGCGTGCCAGCTGTGTAATACATTCCCCAACAGTCTGCCTTCTCCCACATCCTGCTTCCTCGGGATTGCAGTCTCTAACAAACTGTTGCCACAGAAACACTTGCTCCGGCTCCAAGCTTTACTAGGCCGGTTATACAGCTACCTAAGCCTTCTATAAGTCAGATTCTTAGGTTAAACCTAACCATTGAGTAAACGCTCGCTTTCCTTTTTAATCTAAGATCCTGTGATTTTTTTTTCCCTTAACAAAAGACTGGTAATTCTACCCACTTATCATGATGTGAGGAAGAGGCATTGAAAAACCACTGAATGGGAAAGCAGTGAAAAGGGAAAACGACCCTTGGGGGTTGGGGTGAGTAACTGAGTGATGATGAAGTACAAATTGGAAAATGCTTGTGACCAATTAATTTCTTCAGTTACCAATAATTCTCAAATGTAATCATTCTGAAGTCAATTTGTTTAATGTATCAAAGGCAGCAACAAAATAGATTACTTTGGCTTATGACTAGAAGGTACTGTCCATTACAACAGCCTCAAAAAAAAAATACATCTCCAATTTTTTAGACAATCACACTTAGATTTCCTACCTTTCTTATCATCTCAACCCAAATTTTGACTCACCAGCAGCAGGAAGAGGTTAAAAATCACAACCAAACATACCATAGTGCAAATTTCTTTCTTAGAGAAGATGTTGGGTCCCAAAGTGAAGACCTCAGAAGCAAAGTTTCTCTCATGCCCTGCCTGCCTGTCTTCTGTTCCCTTTCACTCCCCTAAAGTATGTCATAGAAACTAGAACCCTTTTCTTCAAGCAAGCCCTAAGGCCTAAAAATACCCTCTAGTCTCTCCCAGCTTCTCAAACACACACACACACACACGCACACACACATGCATCTATCAGTGGAGCTTGATGTAAGGAAACTTTCTGATCTATCTTATGTTGAAGGAAATAAACAAACTCTGTTAAAAGTTAATAAAATGTTTATCCAGAGTAGAATACAAGTGATCTAGTCTCCAGAGACATAAACCCAATGACTTTTTGATGAATCTCAGGGAACATTCCAAAGTGGTCAAATTCTGTTCAGAATTTATGCATTCCCTGACAGTAAATTTCCATTTCTCATTACACAGTGGACATACATTAGTTTTTCCTAAAAAGGCAGGCTTTGGGAAACCAGTGGTGAATTTTTCACAAGCTAGAGATTACTTTCTTTAGAACATGATTGGTAACGAACATCCTCAGAGATGAGATACCATCACAAAAAAAAAAAAAAAAAAAGGAGGCCACTGAAAAGAAGGCTACTGATTAATTTTAAGAAAGATATTTCTGGAAATAGATAAGGAATGTACAGATACAAACAAAGGGTTTTGCACAATTGCTCCAGTTGTCTAGGACAAAACAGACCCTCCTGTGCACATCACACAAGTCAAACTGCCTGACGGATAAGATTAGTAGCTCTGCCCAGACACTCCTCAGTCAAGTCTCAGTGGATGATTCTCTTGAAAACTTTGCAGGCTTTTAGGGGTAATTTGTTTCCACTACTCTGATCATTGGCCATATGATCCCCATTTCAGAAGGGTTCTGCACCATACTCGGGAGAAGCGTTTTCTGAGTTCCAAATATGGTCCCGGGACTGCATGCGTGATAACGTTCTACTCCCAAAACCTAGTCCACACTTTCTGGATCAGTACCTTTGGCCTAGACCTTCCAACTACACATTTAACAACACTCTCAGGAAGCTTTCAAATAAAGATTCAGCAAAACTCTCAGGTAAACGCTTTTATACATCAAAGTTGTTAAGGACCATTCATTTACTTAAAGCTTCCTTCCAGTCACAGAGATTTTTACAATCATCAAACAGTGAGACAGAAGTTTGGCTCCCCTTATCACAGAGGCATCTTCCTGGGAGGCTATTTTGGGAATGGAATGAAGAGGCACTTGCTAGACTGGCAACAATTACAGTGGATCCCCAAAAGGCTTGGAATCTTGCATCAAAAGAAACTGGGATCAGTGCATTTTTTTGGATTAGCTTCAGAGGATATTTTTTTTTTTTCAAACCAAAAGCAAACCAGGATGTGTTTTATTGTGAAGTAGATGCACTATGCTAGAAGATTAGTATTTTTCAGAGAAAACAGGTCTTCTGTTAGTCTTATTAATTTATTACCTATTTCCTTAAGATTTTTTTTCCTTCAAAACAAACTTTTACTGTCCAGTCACATGTTTTCTATATAAATTTAATTAAGTCATCAAGATTTCTAATCTTATAAAGAGAGAGAAACACACACACACACACAAACATACAAATACAAAATGAGGTAGAAGAAAATTTCAAAGGTCATTTTTTCCCTGATTAAAATTCATAATAAAATTACAACAGCTATGTTTTTCATCAAGGAAGTATTTAAGCAGCTAATTTCTATATAAGTATATTCCATGCTAGTTTAATAAATTAGAGAAAGAAGGATAATCCTGTTAAAATGCAATTCAGAGGGAACAGTGGATGAATAGCTATTAACATGTGAAAGCAACGAATGAATGTATTGAATAAAGAAACCCTATAAATTACTCTCAACTAACCAACAGAATTTAGATTTTTGTCATAATTTCAATAAGACTTACTTATGAGATAACCAAGCTCAAAATATTTTTTAATTTAAAAAAAAGTTTTTAAGAAGCAGGAGTTTGCCTAGTGGTTAAAATATCAGCAATCCATGTTGGAGCACTTGAGTTCAAGTCCCAGCTCCGTTGCTTGATTCCAGCTTCCTGCTAACGCCCACCCTGGGAGGTAGCAGGTATTGGCTCAAAGCCTTGATTCCCTGCCACCTACGCAAGAGACCCAGGAATTCCTGGCTCCTGGCTTCAGTCTTGTTCAGCCCTGGCTATTGTGGCCATTTGGAGAATAAACCAGGAAATGGAAGAACATTTTCTCTTTTTCCCTTTCTCTCTCTCTCCCTTTCTCTCTCTCTCTCTCAACAAAATAAAAATAAATAAAAATAAATTTTTAAAATATATATTTTTGAAGGTGCCAGGCAAATTTTCCCTTGCACGTTTCAATGGTAGTTGAGTTCCACGGAAGCTTGAGGATAAGGGTGAGAATCACAAAACTATGAGGAAAATGGGACAAGGCCCTGTCCTTTTTGCTGGAACTGGAGGTTCTGCTAGGCTTACTCGTAGTTTTTCTGAAATGCCACACAGATGACCGTCACTGCCTACCAAGAATCCAAGGATAAATAATGAGGGTCATAGTTTTTCTCCCCCCTGATTTTATTCAATCACACTATTTTTGTCCTGAAAAATCTAATTAATTTTAGCTTTATCTACTTTTTGTAATTTTTCTCTTTTTTAAAAAGATTTATTTATTTATTTGAAAGCAGAATGACAGAGATAGAGAAGAAGAGACCGAGACAGAGAGAGAGCGATCTTCCATCCACTGGTTCACTCTCCACATGGCTGCAACAGCCAAGGTTGGGGCAGGCCAAAGCTAGGAGCCAGAAACTCCATCTAGTTCTCCTGTGTGGGTAGCAGAGGACCAAACACTTGAGCCCTCTTCCACTGATTTCCCAAGAGCATTAGCACAAAGATGGAGCCAAAGCAGAGCAGCTGGGACTCAAACTGGCACTTCAAATTAGGATATTGGTGTTGAGGCAGCAGCTTAACCCACTGTGCCACAATGCCAGCCCCTATTGTTTTTCTTTTTTTTAACTGGTACATGAAAAGTTTATATTTTCCTGGGGTACCATGTGATACTTTGATATATGTATAACCTGTAACATCCAATCAGGGTAAACAAATAATAATCTATGGGTTCAAACAATTAGCATTTTTTGATACTGAAAACATTCAAAATCCTTCCTCCTAGTTCTTTTCTAAAAAATAAACAGTATGTTATTATTACCTATAAACATCCTAATGTTCAATAGAATCTGAGAACTTCTTATTCCTATCAAACTATTGAGTTAAGGCATAATTTGGGGGGCTGCATTGTGGCACAGCTAGCTGAGCTACTGCTCGCGATGACGGCATCCCATGTGGGCATCAGTTCAAGTCCCACTGTTCCACTCAGCTCCAACTCCCTACTAATGCATCTGGGAAGGCAGCACAAGATAGCCCACGTGCTTGGGTCCCTGCCATCCACGTGGGAGACCCAGATGGAACTCCAGACTCTGGGCTTCAACCTGGCCAACCCCCCAGTTGTTGCAGTATTTGGGGAGTGAACCAGAAGATGGAAGATCTCTCTTTCTCTGTCTCTCCCTAACTCTCTGTAACACTTTCTATCAAATATACAAAAATACATCTAAAAATACTTAATATATTCCACTTGCTTTAAAGAAGGAGAAGCAGCAGCTGTTAGAAACCCCAACTTGCCACTCCCCCTGCTCTGATCTGGACTTGTCATCAGCACTCGGGACCACGGGAGGACGGGAGGACGTGTGTCTACTTTCCCAGCCAGAAAGCTTCCCCTGACCCGACAGAGATTCTGACATAATTTCATCTTCCCCCTTCCGTCAAGGCCTTATTAGGTTTAGCCTAAGTGGATAAAATTACAGCTCAGGAGAGGAAGCAGCACTCACCGTAAAAGGAAGCGTCTCTGCAGACATTCTGGGCTCCCCTTTTTCATGCCCAATTCTCTCTGGTTGCCTATCACTCTAGAGGAGGAAGCCTGTGTCTTGCTCTGGCCCCAGTATTCCAGTATCGATTGGCATTGAATCGCACTCCATCAGGAAATCACTGCACAGGGCAACGGTTTTGTTTTTTTTGTTTTTTTTTTTTTAAGTTTTACATAGGAGTCCCTGAATGTTAATTTATAAGATCTGAGAGTTAGAGTGGTGAAAAAGATTAAAAGTGGGGAAAGTTTCTTGCTTGGGGAAGATAAACAGCATATTAATTGTTGACAATCTTAGGAGGTTTTAGTACCAGGTTTTGATATCATAGGCAAAAAATATTCTCCAATCAGCCAAGCCGTGAGCAACAGGAAGGAGATGAGATGCTGCTCAAAGCAGTTTCAATTTTTCAGATACAGCCGCTATTTTTAGGTCATCATAATCACTTGGTGCTGCTTTCAGATGAACCTGGCAGGAAAGGCGGATGCTCCGTTTCTTTCTTTTATTTTATTTTTTTGATGGGTTTGGGACACACTACCTCCAAAACACGCAACCTTGGCACTTGGGAAAATAGAAACAGGCAGGTCCCCTCCCCGTCCCCTTGTCCTGTTCCCTTGAAGCAGGCCCTCAGACCTGGGAAGGTCACTGTCTGACTGCTGCTCACATGGAAGACTCCTGTTCCAGAGGTGACCTCCCGACAGCCACAGGAAGGGAGCATCCCTTCTCAGAGGGGCAGACGCAGAGAGATGGCATGAACAAGCAGGCCTGACCAAGACCCCCACCCAGTCTATCACTGTTAGATCACACCCCATTATCCATCACACTTCTCCGAGACTGCCCGCCCCACTCTTCATCAAACCCAGCACAAAAAATACCTATTTCCTTGCTTCTTTGGGTCTTCATTTCTGAAGGATCCTGTATCACATAAAGCTTTTAGAAATGAATCTGTTATTCTGTCTTTCGTTCTAGTGTCCTCAGGTATGAACTAAGCAATGGGAAAGGGAAAGAATGTTTTCCCTCTCCTAGAACCTCTTTATCTGCTTAAAGAAAGACTAGTATGCCTGAGGTGTAGGGCAGCTACCATCTCATGATAACATTTAGTGATTATAAATTCCACAAACCTGTAGTGCTCTTTATGGTGCCCATAACCAGGACTAGTAGCCTAAAAGTAAATAGAATCATAGCAAACAAAGATTTTTTATGATTTATTTATTTTATTTGAAAGTCAGAGTTACACAGAGAAAGAAGGAGAGGCAGAGAGAGAGAGAGAGAGAGAGAGAGAGAGAGAGAGAGAGAGAGGTCTTCCATTAGCCAGTTCACTCCCCAGTTGGCTGCAATGGTCAGAGCTGGGCCAATCCGAAGCCAGGAGCCAGGAGCTTTTTCCAGGTCTCCCACGTGGGTGCAGGGGCCCAAGGACTTGGGCCATCTTCTACTGCTTTCCCAGGCCACAGCAGAGAGCTGGATGGGAAGTGGAGCAGCTGGAACTCAAACTAGTGCCCATATGGAATGCTGGCACTGTAGGTGGCGGCTTTATCCATTACACCACAGCGCCGGCCCCGATTTTTGTTTTAAAGAATATTTTTACAGTGATGTATCTTACCAGATGTTTGGTAATTCTTACCACCTAAAATTAAAAGAAGTCCACCCATATCTCTAGTATGTCTTTCTTTTCTAAATATTATTATTGTGATAGTCCTTGGTTGATCATTTCTTATAGAAAAAAATCTAACTTACACCTAAACTGATGCAGAAAAAATATTTTATGACAAAGTACAACTACCTGTAGCTTAGGGCTGTCATCTGTTTCAACATGGCTGTCTGAGTCTGTTTTACAAGCAGTTGTCATACAGAGTTCAAGGCATCTCCCCTAGTTTGCTGTTATAAACATTTATTCCTTTCCAAAAAAACTAATATCACACCCACTATGTGCCAGGACAGTGCTGGGGATTGAAGTTAACAATGAGAGAAGATGGGCATTAATTAAATAAATGCATTGTTCAGAAAACTCTCCCAGATGGTGTGTGACCCTAGCCTACTCCTGCCACCATGGTCAGCACCAAAGTCACATCAGATCAGTCCCCCTGAAGTCACAGAACTATCAAGTCTCCTTCAAAACAGAAAAGACAAAGCATGGAAACCTTCAAACTTGGAGTACTTCTAGTGCCTGCTTATTCTACTCCTAGAAGACCATTTCTACTTGTAACTTGCCATATGGGGCTAAGATTCATTATGTCTAAAAATCCTTATTTAGCTTCAGTCCCTTGGAGAAAGCACAGAGATAAAATAATATGCTCATCATCTAAGCAAAATGAAGGACACTTTTAAATCTGCCCCCAAGATAATTTAGCATTATTTCTCTTCCAGAGAACAAGGTCCATAGGTTCCACAGACAGCACTGGCCATAGGAAGTGCGACATTGAAGAAAAGTGGAAAAAAGGAACTACCTTGTCAGACTGAGCAGGATCTGCCTCCCCAAACTCACACAAATGTTTAAACCACAACATCTTTTGTTAATAGCTGATGCACTAAGGGTGAATACTTGATCCAATTATGGCCACTGGTAGGTGGGCCTGGTGGGAGATGCTTAGGTCACTGGGGCTTGCCCTCAGAAGGTAGTTCTTGCAAATAGGTCAGATTTACAAGCCAGGTGTGCTTCCTGGGTCTCTTTGCTCTTGATTCCCCATGTGAACCTCCACACATGCTCCACCACTGCCAGCCATGGCCAGCTTCCACCAGATCCCAGACTAATGGGACCACCCAAGCTTCCACTGTGACCCCCCAAGCTGCATGCCCAAATAAACCCTCTCCTTCCCTAGAAGCTCCTCTCTGCTTTGAAGTAGGAAAAGCTAACAGATGTAACCATTGTCTTCCCCAACCACCATCATTCCACAGCTTGCTCCCTACAGAAAAGCAATAGAAAGTGGGGTTGAACAAACCTGTGGAGGGACACATGGGGGTGATTTTACCTGAGGAGTCCTGCAGCAGGGAGAATCTCAGGAACGGAAGGCTAAGCAAAACCACTGTTCTTGTCTTACTTCTCCCACTCCCTCTACTGGAAACCAGGAGTGAAGTTAGGAACACGGTAGCACACAGGTCAATCTGAATTTCTATTCTTTGTGACAGCCATGTTTTATTTCCACTGAGCAACTTCCTCGCTCTGTTGTAAGTCTTCCTCCTCCTCTCTGGCAGCCAAGCCTTTCAGCATTTCACTATCTCACCTGAGCTGAAAAATCTGGCAAAGATAAGTGAGCCTGGGAAAGCTACACCACAAACAAGACACAAGGAATTCTGCACAAGGAATTCTAAATTCTTTTCTGGGATCGAGGGAGATAACCAGAAAGTCACAAGACAGTGCCTCACAATTTTAGCTTCTCCACAGAAATTTTCTCTTCAAATTATGGTTTAATGTTATGTCTTCACTTTGTTTTTGTTTTGCTTTTTTTTTTTTTTTTTACAGTGAGTGGACATCAGAAGCAAACATCTAAATGTAGAAAACTTTTTGATTTCCACAAAGTCACTGTTGAAAACGTTTCCTATGGTAGTCACTGGTGTTTTTCACACAACCTTACACACAAAGACACATGGCACAAGTACTGTCCCCACCAGAAATAACAGTCATACTGCTCAGGAATTCCCCAGCACTCTCAGACAAGGAGCACACCACCATCCCCTCCTGAGGCCTTGGCAGTTGCAAGATGAGGAAGCAGAACAAAGCAGAATTTCCATTCTCTGAGGCTACTCCCCTCTGCCCATCTGTCCTTCCTGAACAACAGATGAATGTTCCTTTGAGGCATCCAGATGCACAGATGGCAGACATCCTTATACGAGGTGCACAGCTAAACCAAAGAACCAAAGAACGTGCAGGGAAGAAAGCATCCATACCCGTACAAGGGGAGTCGCTGAGGTTCTCCAGACTGCATTGTTCAGAACAAGGAAAGAACCGTCTGGGCTTTGTACACATGGGGCCAGGATCCACCCAGTGCAGAGCTGGGTCTCTCAGCACCATATGAGGGGCTCAAAGGCGATTCTCACAGGTACTGACTCACATGCTGCTTTATTTTCCTTTATTTTATTTAAAAAGATGCTCCTAAAATTGGTCCAGAAAAAGTTCCTTCAGCATATGATAAAGGAGGAGGAAGTAGAGGAGGAGAAAAGCGGAAGGAAGGGAGGGAGGGAGGAATGGAGGAAGGGAAAGCTTGGGAAGGGGAACATAAGGAAGGTAAGGGTCTGTAGGTAAATGGAAAAGAAAGTAGAGTTAGGGGCTCTAAATCAGCTGTAAAGAGTGCACAATAACCATCCTAGTTGTCAAGCTAGAATATGAGCTTGGGGAGCCGGTTTTGTGTGGGCAAGACAAAGTAGACTGGAGAAGGATGAAGAGCGAAAAGAAAAGAGAAAACAAAGCCCAGACAGGCAGCGCGGAGGGAGACGGGCCCCGGTTGTGGGGTCCTGGAGCGCCGGCCGTGCCACGTGCTGCTGTTTTGTGAGAGCGACACCCGTCTCCTCCAGTCGCCGTCGCTGCATCGGGCTCCCATCTGAGCGGCTCCGATAGACAAAGCTGTAAAGGTTCAATTCGGGGATCCCCAGTCTGCGGCTGTCTGGTGAGACTTCGGAGCCTTTAGGAGCACGCTCAGGTGCTGGGGTTTTAGGCCCTGCTCCTTGCCTTCACGTGTGCTGGCCCAGCGCTGGCTGTTGAGGAGATCCTGAAGCAGAGGGAGGGTGTCTCCCACAGTGCTGAACGCCGCTGTCGACGTCCTCTGAGTCTGCCTGGTGCTGGGAGTAGCGTCCCAGCATAACCTCTTAGTGCAGAAGCAATGCTGCAGTTCTGTTCCGGTCTTCCTGGTGCATGTGCGGAGAACAGCCCATCGCTCACTGTTGACTGCGGATTCTAACAATAAATGCAGCGCGATGAAAAAAAAAAAAAAAGGAATATAAGCTTCTAAACAATCTTAAATCCAAGGAATAAATACACTTGAGTAAAACAACAATGATCCTATTAGAAAACAGTGTATCAGAATGAAAGGATTCTGTAGGTGGGGAGGATCCTTTTAAAACATATATTTATTACATCTTATTTGTAGCCGGCGCCGCGGCTCACTAGGCTAATCCTCTGCCTTGCGGTGCCAGCACACCGGGTTCTAGTCCCGGTCGGGGCGCCGGATTCTGTCCCTGTTGCCCCTCTTCCAGGCCAGCTCTCTGCTGTGGCCAGGGAGTGCAGTGGAGGATGGCCCAAGTCCTTGGGCCCTGCACCCCATGGGAGACCAGGAGAAGCACCTGGCTCCTGGCTTCGGATCAGTGCGATGCGCCGGCCGTGACGGCCATTGGAGGGTGAACCAACGGCAAAAAGGAAGACCTTTCTCTCTGTCTCTCTCTCACTATCCACTCTGCCTGTCAAAACAAGTTATTCAATCCAGGGTCATTTAACCCTTAAGCAAATTAACAATACAGAGCATATTACTTAGGATTAGATTGAACTACCAGTTACAGAAAACCCACAATTCCATCCAAAAGATGGAAATTATAATAGAAATTACAATTATATATAATAGAAATAATAATATATAATAAATAAAATATAATAATGTAAATATTATTTTATATAATAATATTATATATAAAATATAATAGAAATTATAGCAGAAAACCCAAGGCTATTTTAGCAGTTCCGGCACCATCAGGAGCTCTAAGCTCCTTCTGTCCTACGGCTCCTATCTTGCGGTCCAGGGAGGCTGATCCAGTTCCAGTCATTATGCCCACATGCTGGTCAATGAGAAAGAGGAAACAGGAGACAGAAGGGTGCTGCGGCCTGAGGACACTTCCTCCAAACTGAACAGATCCTGTTTCCCAGTGGCCACAAGTGAGTCCCACTGTTACACCAGGCTGCAAACGAGGTGAGGTGTCTGTGTTCTGGCGACCACGTGTCCAGCTAACATTGCAGGTGAGGTTGCTGTATTCCATGGAGGATAAGTTGTACACACAACTCTGTCTCTTCCACAGCAAGAACATTTCGCACCTTTTGAAAACATTGTAAATACATTGAAGCAAAAATGATCTACCAGGGAATTTAGGCCTGAAAAAATCAAAATTAAAATGTTTCCAAATCGATAGCCACTTAGTTTTTAGCTGTTGTGTAAGACATTCTAGGACCTTGGTCACCTATGGATAGTTAGGAAGAGGAGAGAAGCTGGAATGAAGCAGAGCTCTGCTGCCCGGGGCTGCTGGGAACGGTCTCTGTGCAATTCTCCCAGCAATAGGTGCTGTGCTGCCAGGGAGTCAGGGGAATCTAAGCAGTGTCTAACGTGGCAAGGTCATTGCCAGGTGGAGCCATCAGTGCTGTAAGAAGGTCCAGTTCCACAGCAGCACTCTGTCTCCTTCTGTAAGTGGTGGAAGTTACTTGTAGAGGCATTTTGGAGTGAGAACTGGGCTTGACAGACAGAATCCTGTCTTCCCAGAGAAGATATGATAATTAGATGGGGCACAAATGAAAATTTTAATTTAAAAGATACTGGTATACTAGTCAGAGGAACCACACACATTGCAGGAGTGCTGCTTAACTACACATGTTTCATCATTAGTATCAAAAAAAAAAAAAAAGGTCTTTAAAGGTCTTTAGAACGACTCTACTATCCTATACCCATCCACGCTGATTGCTTCTTCCTTCATTATTAAATGATCTGATTCTGCAAGATTATCATTTGTGAAGTCTCCAGTGTCATTTTCTTCATCTTCATAAAATCTTGGTCTTTTGGAGGACTTGACATTTTCCTGGGTGATCAATTATCCCTGCATCTGTACTATATTATCAGGTAACAACAAGAGACGCACTATGCTAGCTGGTGCTATGTGCTAGCTCATTTTGCAAGGAGATAGATGGCTATCTTTTCAAGTGTTTGGCTTATTACAGAATATTTTTGTGAAGTGACACCAATCAAAACTTTGACTGAAGCTACCTGGAGAGCAAACCTGTGGATAACTCAGATATGATTAGAATATTTTAGGAGGTAAAGACCAAGGCAGAAGTCCCTACCTACAGCAGGCTGACCCGGGAGGCGCTGAATGTGAGTCTGCACCACCACAACAAACTACACAAACTCAGCAGCTAAATGAAATATCTATCTAAAGTCTCAGAGTTCATCCATGCTGCAAATCTGGACCCAGTGTGCCTGAAACAAGTTCTCTGCTTAGGTCTTACAAGGCCAAAGTCAAGGTATCAGCTGACCTGGGCTCACACCTGTAAGGCCTGGGGTGAGGGGAGAATGAACTTCAAGGCTCATGGTTGCAGGGGCTCTGATTTCCTTGCCAGCTATCATGTGAGGGTTGTTCTCAGCTTCAGTGCATTCATCCCAACATGAAATTATCTTGGCCACTTACAAACAATTTTACCATCTGAATCTCTCCCCCAGTAGAATTTTACCTCTACAAGAAGAGGGACCTTATCCATTTTATCTTTGGATCAATAGTCCCTGGCATGACTATGAAAATATGAATACTTTTTAATTTAATGAGTAAAATTTGTAATCTATATAACTCTATTAAAAATTTGTTTTTAATCATAATTGCCAGAATTTTTTTTTTTTTATCTATTGACAGGTAGAGTTATAGACAGTGAGAGAGAGAGAGAGAAAGGTCTTCCTTCCGTTGGTTCACTCCCCAAATGGCCACCACGGCCGGAGCTGCTCCGATCTGAAGCCAGGAGCCAGGTGCTTCTTCCTGGTCTCCCATGCGGTGCAGGGGCCCAAGCACTTGGGCCATCCTCCACTGCCTTCCTGGGCCACAGCAGAGAGCTGGACTGGAAGAGGAGCAACCGGGACTAGAACCGGCGCCCATATGGGATGTCAGTGCCGCAGGCAGAGGATTAACCAAGTGAGCCACGGCACCGGCCCCCTGCCAGAATTATTTTAAGTATGTTTCTTCATTATGCTATATATCTCTTAAGCTTCTGCTTGTTTCTCTGAATTCTCTTAATTTTTTCTTATAATAACTACTAGGAGAGCCATGTTCTAGAGGATTTCATAAAAAGGTGAAAAGGCTCAATAGGCTAATCCTCCACCTAGCGGCGCCGGCACACTGGGTTCTAGTCCTGGTCGGGGCACCGGATTCTGTCCCAGTTGCCCCTCTTCCAGGTCAGCTTTCTGCTGTGGCCCGGGAGTGCAGTGGAGGATGGCCCAAGTGCTTGGGCCCTGCACCCCATGGGAGACCAGGAGAGGCACCTGGCTCCTGCCTTCGGATCAGCGCGGTGTGCCAGGCGCGGCAGCCATTGGAAGGTGAACCAATGGCAAAGGAAGACCTTTCTCTCTGTCTCTCTCTCTCTCACTGTCCACTCTGCCTGTTAAAAAAAAAAAAAAAAGTGAAATGGAAATGGTGAAGTTTATTTTCAATGAGTCAAATAAATAAGTTAGCACACATTCATTTTAAGATTTGAAGTATGTGAATGGCTTGTGACAATTAGTGTCGTTGCTTTACCAGTGTTTTAGTGTTTCTAAAAGCAATTACTGACCAAAAATTATCTTTTTATTTGAATGATAGCATCTGTTCAAATAAGACTAACAGAAGTCTAATTTTATCTGTGGGGGGGTTTTAAAAGATTCATGGAAAATGTATATTATGAAGCCACTGTAGATGGATTTAAATTTTATTCACAAAAAAACCAAACTTATCTTTTCATTCAGTTTTCCTTGAAATTTTTGAAGTGTTCTCATAGTCACATATTAAAGTTTTTTAAGGACTAAAATTATTTTGTAATATTTTTATATGATTTTTCCAATGAGTCATTTGAAATGTGTATGCTTTCTTTCTTACAGGACTCTTTTTGGGCTAAAGTATCGCATGTTTATTTGTAGAAAACAAATGCAGTGTTTTAAGGTCATGAATGAATCTCAGATTTCTATCTGGCGGAAAAATGTTATATGTAATCAATTTTGTTCTGGGGTATTTATTGTGGTAAAAAGGCTTTGGAACTATACTTCTTATGTCTCTAATATACCCTGATATTTTTCTGAATTATAAAATGAGACCATGTGACACCCAAAATATACCTTTCAATGTCAGTGTGACAAATGGCAAATTACAGGATGCCAGTGACCTCTGTCTCTCCCTCAATTCTTTCCATGTGCATATGCACGTACACACACACACGGGCATGCGTGCGTGCGTGCAAACACACACACACACACACACACACACACACTAGTCTCCATGCATTCCTATACTTAGAAAGGACTTGCTGGCTCATTTAATAAAATCATACTCAATCACCACGTAAAGAGGGGCAGCTAGATCTCAAAGTCCAAGCTGCTCTCTGCTGAGATCACCTATTTCAATCCCGAAACATATGGGTTTGATTTTATTCAGAATGTACAAATGTCATTGTGTCCAATGGCAGAAGTGGGATCAATTCAGGGGGGAATCCTAGCAATACTTCAAGCCAAAGATAATCAGGGCAAATTATGAAACCAGAATATCTACGTGTGTGTGTGTGTGTGTGTGTGAGTGCAATAAACAACAGGTGACTCCCCAGTACTCATTATTCTCACTTAGAAATGGGCAGTCTCTGGGGCCAGTACTGTGGTGCAGCAGCTTAATGCCCTGTCCTGAAGCGCCAGCATCCCATATGGGCGCTGGTACGAGTCCTGGCTGCTCCACTTCCCATCCAGCTCTCTGCTATGGCCTGGGAAGGCAGTGGAGGATGGCCCAAGTCCTTGGGCCCCTGCACCCACGTGGGAGACCCGGAAGAAGTTCCTGGCTCCTGGCTTCGTATCAGCTCAGCTCCGGCCGTTGCGGCCAATTGGGGAATGAACCAGCGGGTGGAAGACTCACTCTCTCTCTCTCTCTCTCCCCCTCTCCCTCTCCCTCTCCTCTCTCTGTGTAACTCTGACTTTCAAATAAATA